TTTCAATTATAAAACGCACCTATGGTAGTTTTGCACCTATTATATGTTTTTTAAAATTTTTTAAGCTTTTATAAGTTTATATATAAAATTTTTAACACCAATTTTTCACGCTAAAGTTAATATTAAGGTTAGGATTAGGGTTTGGAAGGGGTTTTTAGGGGCGTAGAACATTTTTACTTAGAACACCTTGCTTCGATTAATTAGCCAGTTTTTGAGATAATGTATACATAGGTGTAAAACACCATAGGTGTGTTTTAGTAAAATCCAATTTTTTTTATAAATATATTTTATGAATGCTCAAATATTATATATTTTTTTGATTATTTATTAATACTGTATATAAAAAATTTGAGTTTTTGAATTTAATTTAAAGTGTATCAAGTATATATATTATAGGTAATAAGATAAGTATACATTATCCGGCAAACTCTTATGATCATGAATTGCCATCTGTCTTGTTATTTTTTTCATGTGTTACGATGTAATCAGGTTTATTCAAATTAAAACTCAGTCTATGATTCCCTACCAATCATAAATTGCTGGATAACACCAATATTGAACAATTTGCCGAATACGATAATTTGGCTGTATACGTGTCGCGAAGCAGCGTGAGTTCATTTGCCCGGTTTGCCAAATTACCGTTATTTGACAAATTTTGCCCAATATTGTATGCATATCAAGACTAATTCAAGATATTTCATGATGTTGATAACAAATACATGTAATAATTGATTTATTACACAGATTTTAACACTTATGATTTATAAATATTATTTTTTACAAGATTTTCATAGCTTTTCTTTATACAAAATAAAATTTTTTTCTTTTAAAATTTCTTTCTTGGTTATATTCTTTAAAAATAATTTATAAACAATTATAGTACAATCTAAAAAAAAAAACAAAAAAAAGTTTGCTATGAAAATATCAGCTGTAAAAATATCAACTGTAAAAATATTAGTAAAAAAAGTCATAGGTGAACAATTAGGTGCCATGTAATAATTTAATTTTTGATCTAATCTTATTAAATAATATTATAATATAGATAACATATTTTTAGTAACTTGAATTATTTATTAACCAATTTACTAATTAACATTACGATATTTTGACAAAATAATTGGCATGGTATTTAGAAAATCGTGCTCCCTCAAAATAGTCTCATACGTATCTCTAAATAACGCGTACCCCATATATACAGTATCTGTAATATAAGTACTGGTTTCTCTTTGCACTATTATTTATATATGGGGAATGGTCTAAAAAAACCAGTCTTTGACAGATAGTTTAAACTTTAAAAAAATGTGATTAATGTCTGCATTACACGAAATTTCAATACCAGATTTGATTTACGTATTTTATAGATATTGTTATATGAACAATGTCACATGCTTTAATTCAATTCGCCAAGTTAAATTGACAATATTCTAATTGGTTGTTATTCTACTTTAGAGTGCTATGTCTTCGAAGAATTGCTTTTTCAAGTATAAAAATCCCAATATTTTATTAAGCTAATATAAAATAAAAAAGTGTACTTCATATGAATAACCAATATTTTAATTTGAATTGAAAATCCTGAATCGTCAACAGTGTCCCATACAACGCACATGGTCGTTACTTGAAAAAGCAAGTTTATTAAAAAATCAATCTTTGTTTCGAAATAACATCGCGTACTCTAATTAACGCGTATATACTCAAATCAACGTGCAGATGGGCGTTATTTCACGAAAATATGGTACGTATCTACAAGATTCTAACATTCGCTACCCAGAGCTTTAATATCTCAACTATTATTATCTCATGTGCAGTGTTAATTTTTAGTTAAATTTATGCACCAAATTTTGTTTCTGTGTGCTGCGCACAATCCGCACTGCGAAAAATAATCACCAACCACGTGTAGCATTATATGAAGAGAAAAATTATATAATGTTAATATGTATATCGATATTGTATAAACTTTTCATTACAAATTAAACAATTACATAGCAGCAAAAAATTATTTGGATTATTAAGCTTGAAAGGATCTATGTATATAGCCAGTGCTTTATACTCATATTGCCCTTGCTAAATTGTTTACCTTTTTTTTGGCTCAAAAAACCTTTTACAATTTTTAAATTTTTAAGCATAACTGATAACTTTGCCGATTTACTTAATACGTATACGAGAAATAAAGTACTCAAGCTTCCGGGTGCAGTATTGCAAACGTATAAAATTCTTCTTTACAATTGTGTAATACTGTAATATATCAGTTCATTCCTTAGGATGGCTCTCTTGCTCCCTAATCATTGTTCGCAACTTATGCGCCACTATGTGTTACGATTTGATTGGACTAGCGATACCGAACAAATGGGCCCCCAAAAGTAGAAACCAAGGAATTGTTAAGATCTGTAGAACTGTAGATTGCACAGTAAATCTTAGTAAACCTATTTTTATATTATAGCGTCAAAAGCTTTTAACCGTTGTATCGCAAAAATTTATTAAGTGATTAGACTTTCATTATTAAGTAAAAAAGATCGGGCTTTAAATTTTACACCTAATCAATCAAACAGGTTAATTTTCAAAAAATTATATTAAATTTGCCAGAATTAACTTTTTTTCATTTTGCTAATTTAGTTTGCAAAATAAAAAAAAAAAGTTCATTCAAATTAAATAACGAGGTGGCTGGCAAATTTAATTTTATTCACAAAATCAACAAAATCGGCATAGCCTCGGAGGGTCATTTTTCTAGAAAAAAAAATTTCATTTTATCAATTATCTAAGCTTCAATTTTAGTATTCAAGCCACTGTAAACTATTAACAAGGCTAAAATCAACTCTTAGATATTAGCTATCAATATGTTTGATAAACATTAAATCCATTAACTTTTACAAGGCAAAAATATTATAGTATTAATGTTTGTAGTCGGCCTAAAATTGTTAACTCGACTAAGCCGTGCTAGTGATGGTGAATAAACATTTTAAACAGTTGTTTTTAATACATTTTTTTTATTGTTTAAAAAATCGGGTTAAAACATTGGCGTCTGATGCTGAAATTTAGCTGAAACTGAAAATACCGCTTCTGATTGGTTAATTTCGGTGTGTGAAAGAATTCTATGTAAGAATTTTTTTGTTTTTGTATTGATACTAAATTACTTTAAAATGCGTAATTTGTCTATTAACTAAATACATACCGATACAATTTTATGCGTTTAATGATATACAGTCAAACCCCTCTATAGTCACCTCCTCTATAGTCACAAAATTGGTATAATTACAAATTTATTTTTACCAATTATTTATAACTATATAGAAAATACCTCTATATTAGTCACACCTCTTTACAATCACAGCTTTTTGTATCCCGAAGGTGTGACTATAGAGGGGTTTGACTGTACGTATTAAAATCCAAGATATATATACTGTATGTGCATGTAATAAATTATTTTGAAAATATTGTTATGTAAATCTTGTTGAATACTGTAAGTTCTTGGGAGTTGATTACAGTAATTTTTGTAAAGTTTAAGGGTCAGGGCTAAAACGATACATAGTAAATGCCTGCCATTCAATAAGTGTCATTCTTGATTCACATTATATTATAATTTTGATGCAGTATCAAGAAAGATACTTTAAACAATAAGCAATGGCGCAGTAAATGGCCGGCATTTACTGTATCGTTTTAGCCCTGTTAAGGGTGCTCTCAAGCATAGAGATGTACATCTCTACTCAAGCATCTAAATCAATAGGTCTGAGTTCAATTTTTAATTAGTGGAAAATAAATTATTCGGTCAAGCGAGTTCATTATCGCGATGAAAAAAAAAGATGGTCAGAGACCATCTTTTTTTATCATAGAGTTGTGCTGATTGGCTAAAATTTAATATCCGCGTTTCGCAACGTGAACCTTCGACAAAATTACCGCTTCAATTGATCGTAGTACTTGTGCACGATCTCTATAGTTAGCTAATTACACTGAGAGAGATGCTTGAAAGCACCCTAAATGTGTATTTCTTTTAAAAGAATCTTTCACGAGATATTGTCAATGATTTTATTATTATTGGTCTTTTTTTTTAGAAGTTCTTATTCGTAATAAGTATGATACTAATTGCATTACATAATTTTATATTATGATTACGTCAAGATGTATTAAAATTATTAAAAAATATTGGGTCAAGGTTTTCTTTAAATAAAGAGGCTTCCATTCAACAGGCTTATTATTTTACGTCTGTCAATAACAATATAGAAATATATATACGTCATTTACAATTGTGGTAAAGAATTTATCAACGTAACGTTAAATAATTTGTTCAAATCGGAATTTTTTGTTATTATAATAAAAAAATTCCTGAGAAGAGTTACTGGTCAATACGCCTCTTGTGGAATAAAAATGTGAAGTTCTATAACTTTGGATAACGTTGCTTATATATTTATTTATTTTTTATTTATAATACATTATTTATCCGCGGCAATTTTTTTTTATGCCGCAGATTTTCTAAATGGCTTGTTTTGAGGAATTCTTGTTGGAACTTTATAAAAATTCAAGCCAGAAATTTTCTTAAAACTATGCTGGGGTGCTGGGATTAAATTATAATTACTAAATTTTTGTCTTTGAAATATGAAGCCACACAAAGGCTTGGTTTCATGAGGCTTACGACATTGTACACGACAATATTTTTTTACATGTCACAACAATGATAAATATTTGGTGTCTTTGGCAAAAAAAAAAATATATATATCGAATTACTCAACGAAACCAATTATGAAATTTCTTCGCTCTTCATTGATTATGATCTGTCGCAATATTTGGGGTTGAGTTAATAGAAATCAAGCAAATTTTTTTTAAGTAAAACTTTAAACAATAATAACTCAACAAAAACTTAATCAAATTTAATAAAAATTTTTTTAAATAAATTCTACAAACTTATAGAATTTGTTTAAAAAAAATTTATTAAATTTGATCAAGTTTTGGTTAAGTTATTAATGTATAAAGTTTTAAAAAAAATTCAATAAAAATAATTTGCTTTATTTCAATTACCCCCATTTAGTGGCTTTTGATGATTTGAAGATTGTGTGAGGCTTTGGATAAACCTTTATTTTTCTTACAACGCTTACGTTTAATAATTCTTGAGCATCCAAATGTCTATATAAACCTCCCTCAAGTTCTTTGTTCAGAAAAAAATATCTTCAATAAAATAATAATAATAATAAATAATAATAATAAATGATATTTAATTAATAAAAACAAAAAAAATAATAATAGTAAAAATGAAAGTCGTTCCCATCGGACTTTTAGCCGCGTTTGTCGCGACTGTTGCTGCTGGTAGTGTATTTTGTTCTTCATTAAGCTTGAAGTCAGCTTATGTTGATTGGTTCTCGAATATATTCATTTTAAAATTTAAATGTTACAGAACCATACTACGAAAAACGTGACGCTGAACCATACTACGAGAAACGATACTACGAACGTGATGCAGAACCATACTACGAACGTGACGCAGAACCATACTACGAACGTGACGCTGAACCATACTACGAACGTGACGCTGAACCATACTACGAACGTGACGCAGAACCATACTACGAACGTGACGCAGAACCATACTACGAACGTGACGCTGAACCATACTACGAGAAACGTTACTATGAACGTGACGCAAGTCCCTACTACGAACGTGACGCTGAACCATACTACGAGAAACGTTACTATGAACGTGACGCAAGCCCCTACTACGAACGTGACGCCAGCCCCTACTACGAACGATACTACAAACGTGACGCTGACGCCAGCCCCTACTACGAACGATACTACGAACGTGACGCCGACGCCAGCCCCTACTACGAACGATACTACGAACGTGACGCTGACGCCAGCCCCTACTACGAACGATACTACGAACGTGACGCCAGCCCCTACTACGAACGTGACTTCTATGAACGCTAAAGGAACTACTATAAACGTGACGAACTCGAGCGTGACGTCGAACCATACTACTAGATTGCTGATCCATATTATTACTAGATTTTTTGTAATAAAAAATTGGTTATAAATGTGATTTATCTTTGTAGATAGCTTACTTATCTCCTATTTGTTTCCGACCTTTGTATAAAGGACAGATTATTAGTTTTTTTAATGCTCTTTTTTTTAATATTTTTTATCTAGATTTTAAACGAATATTACCTTTCCTCATTATATTTTTTTCTTTTTTTTAAAAATTTTTTTTCGTTGTCTATATATTTATTGTTTCTCCTATGTCGCTGTATATACAAAAGTTGAATTTAAGTTTCTTTTTCGTTAGTCTCCTTTTTTGTTCTGATTTTATGTTCAGATTGCTCAATTTCTCGGAGAAAGCCTTTTTTTCTGTATATTTTTTGATTTGTTTTCGTTTTATAATAAAGTTCTTTCGGATTCACAGGTTTAGCCTATAATATACTACAGTCTTCCTCCTCTATAATCACAACTCCTAAATAATCACATAAAATTTTATTTCTATTTTTTTTCTATTTAAAATACCTTTATATAATCACAATTAGCTTATAATCACTATCACACTTTTATAGATTTTTAAAAAATTTTTATTAGTAAAAATACTTCTATACAATCACGAAGTTAATAATTTTTACATATAAAAGTAAAAATTTTACTAAGCTAATCGATCTTTATTAATCATATCCGCCGATTTGATTTTTAGGGGTCTTTTTTCGATAAACAGATACACGAACTTTTGCCACTAAGTGACGTGAAGAATAACAAACGAAACATTCATTAAGAACAGCTTTTTAGCCTCTGTATGAGATAAATAAGCAATAAATATTAAAACACAGCTACACTAAACCGTAAAAGAAAGCACTATCACTAGTTGTTGAAGCGTTTGGATATTTTCGGGTAGTGAACGAT